AAGATCAAATTTTCAATGACTCAGATTGATTGCACTCACACCAAAGGAGGGCTATGTGTTGATTCTGTTTTAATATACCCCAGAAGCAGTAGCTTAGCAAAAGAGGTTACATCGTGGTTGCAAAGATAGAAAACTCCTTTTTTTTCTCCTTACATAACTTCGAAAAAGATTTTTTTTTTGTTTTTGCACATAAATTTATGGGATTTTTGGTATATAAAAATGGTGTTCATTTAGTTTTTTTTTTTTTTAATGGTACATAGAGACTTGCAATTAAATCATATGATTGGTGGTATGGTATTCATTCAAAATTATTTTGTTAAAGTAAATTACTATAAAAAAATGATTGTTGTTAAACTTTATTAAACTATTATTTTTAAAATTTAATAAAAAAACTAACAATAATTATTAAATTTAAATTAATTTTTAAAATTAAAAATTTAAGGTCACAAATTTCGTTAACATTTGTTTCAAATGATAATTTATTTTAATGTGATAAATTTTTTTAGAGAAATTAGCCCCTCTGCCGTTAGTAATTGCCTAATTGGTATCCATCTTCACTCAAATTGTAAACTAAACAGGGTTTCCTCCCACTAATTAAAAAGGAGCATAAAAGGTCCATTAGGCCCAACTTAACTTCATAACTTGTGGTCTGTAGAGATGGTTATGGGTTGAAGGGTTCTGTGCTTCTTCTTCTTCTTCTTCTTCTTCATGAATGGGAAGCTCTTATTTTTTAACATCCATGATTCATGAAAGTGAAAGAGAGAACGTATGAGATGAAGTCTCCATTCCTTTTTTTTTTTTCTTTTGGAAGCTCTTATTTTTGAACATCCATGATTCATGAGATGAAAGTGAAAGAGAGAGAGGTATGAGATGAGGTCTCCATTCCTTTTTCCCTTTTTTTTTTTATTTTGGGAAGCTCTTGTTTTTGAACATCCATGATTCATATTAGGTCTCCTTCACATTTCACTTCATTCATCCCCGCCTTAAAAACTTGTTCAGTTGACCAATTTCCTTTTCTTCTTCTTTTCTTTTTTTTAAGAAAAGTTAAGGTGAGAGAATGATATTTAATTTATAAATCTTATTTACGAGGATTATTAATGGATGAACAAACTTAAAACTTAGCATCAACCAACACTTATACACTTGCTTTTTCATTATTGACATAAAAATTTGAATTTGAA